ACACGTCGGTACACCTCCACCCTGCTACCTCTTTCTTTCCATTCTTTCGTGTATTTATCTCTCCATCAACTCAAACACACACTCTCTCTCTCACACACACACATTCTCTTTCTCTCACACACACACGTCGGTACACCTCCTCCCTGCTACCTCTTTCTTTCCATTCTTTTTCTCTCTCCATCAACTCAAACACACACGCGCACGTTGACGCACACACGCACCCTGTCCCTCTGCGTGACTCAGTCTGAAGTCAGTTTTTTTTCTCCATCCTATTTGTGACTCCTCTACAAAAGGAGCAGGTTACAAAAAAAAGCAAAAAGCTGATAATAATAAATAATTGATGAATTTACCTGAGGTACCTGTTTGCTGTCACTGCTCCGCCCCCCCACACCCACTGTTATCAGCCAATCACAGCCCTAGCCCCTGCTCGCCTCCTCGGGGCAGGGATATAAACGAGGGGGGGGGGGGGGATATAATGAAGATGGCGTGTTGAATTATTAACAGAATTTATGCAGGTGGAACTGTATCTGAGTATGATCACACAGCCATCTGCACGAGTTCGTGTTGCGGTGAAATGTGATCAAGTTTCCAGGCTATAAAAGGATGATGTAGAATCTGTGTAAGAATTAAAAGGTATATGTTGTTTACGATGATTACATTACACCAAGTCACTAATAGAACTGACATAAATACTTTTCCTCCCTGATCAGGTTTCAACAACCAATGAAAAGTCCTTTCATTTTCCTCGATATTTTAAATGAAACCAGCTCATCTGTAACTCCTATTGTGAATAACCTAAAGAACATTTCTTATCAGGACGTTTTGAATTCAAAAACATTGTGTGTCTTACTTTGTCAACATTAATGTGTGTTATACAAAAGCATCAACTATAATGTAATGAGAAAACCCACATCCTTGTCTAATACGTATTAAGACGTTTCATCTCAAGAACCTGAAAACATCAGAACCAACTTTAATGATAAGCCTATAATAATCTGTTCAGGGAACATTTAACTCACCTTAAGAAAAAGTGGGGTCTGCTTTTATATTTGATAAAGTAGGTTATATAGTGTTAGGGTCACTAAAGGGCTCTATGTCTTCATCCAGTGTTGGTCCTGTGGAAAGTGGGGGGTTAAAAACAGACTTATCATCAACAGGTGGGATGCAGGCTGAGGTTTCACTGTTTCACCTGCATTAATTATTTACGCACAGACGTTATGAAAAATAACAACAGTAGTGGAGTTCTGGAGAACATGAGAACACGATGCCGTTGTTAATAAATGGAATAGGAAAACTTTATCTTGTCTCAACCTGTCGTGTTAACGCAAACTTATACCTGCATTGTTCCCTCAACTTGACTTCTTGGACAGTGTCTTCACAGTCACTGTTTCCTCACTTTCTTCTGACAGTTTGTTTTCAAGACATGTTGTTAATTAAAGTTATGAACTGACATATGATCCAGATCCAGCTCTTGCCTCCTTGCTCAGGATCCTCATAATATAATAATAAACTTAATTTAAATTTTTCCTTTCAAAACAAAGCTACAATGTGCTTTTAAGGACAGATATTCTTATAGCAGGAAACAGGAAAACTCAGAAATTAATTTTAGTGTGAAGAGGAATTTATTTTTAACTCATTGTGCAACAAGTAAAATAAAAGGTTGACTAAATAAAAAGCGAAACTGACAACATGCTCTACAGCCTATGGAAAGTAAATAATTAAAAACCAGTTGACAACACTATAGAAAAACTAAAAACTTTAAAAAAAACTTTAAAAAATCATGTATCAACAGTTTTCATGCATATACCCTGATGTGTTTATCTGAAATCTTTAGTCATGAACTGCGTTGGCCTGTATCAAGCCTCTTTAGTCATGCTCATTTCAATAACTATATTCAAAATATGTGCATTCCACAGCTTCCTTCCTCCTTTTTCTTTTTTTATGAAAAGAATAGCGCTTGCATTTTGTATGAGATATGGGGAGGCGAGCTGTGTGCATGTCCAAAAAGCCACAGGTCTCTCTGGGGACCCAGAACAAAAGGCAGAACTGGGCCATAGTCTCCATCTGCTGTCCCAGAGAGAAAGGGAGCGAGGGAGAGAGGGACGGAAAGAGAAAGGGAGAGAGAGAGAGAGACAGGGAGATCATGGCAAGTGAGGACACTATCGGCAGAGAAAAATTGAATAATAAAGAGAGGGAGGAAGAAAGGAGGAGAGAGTGGAGAAGACAGCAACAGGGGAGTTGATGCAAAGTTACAGAGAGAAAAGTAAGCAAGAGATAGATTGTTGAGATATTTGTTTTTCCCTTAAATCCCCCTTCTTTCTTCCCCTCTCATTAGCCACCACAGCCCTGTATTACCTTATACTGTAGCGTAACCCTTAGTGATCTCACACACACACACACACACACACACACACACACACAGACACACACATGCTTGGAGGGGTGCAGCTGTGATGCAATGAGCACCTGTTGCATTTCATGCTCCAACTCAGTGAAGCTATCAATTGTTAATGAGTTTCTTTGATACTGAAGGAAAAACAGTCATGTAAAGTCTAACGTTTGCATGCTGTGCATCTATCTGATGAATTGATTTTTTTCATTTGTTTTGATATTTCATCCTCTGTTTGTGTATAAAACTGGTTTAAATAACCAATAATTTGTTCATTTTAAATTGTATTTAAAGACATAGATTATTCTAAAATGTGTTATTATAAGATACACCCAATAAAATCAAAAAGGGACCCTAGTTTATTAGAGTAATTTAAAGATAACTTAAGCTATGCATAAGCATTGCCTGATAAGATGCTTCAGGGACTCAGACACAAAACAAAGTTCTCATACAGACACTAGAAGCTTAATTGTATAATCATGTGGAAATCAAACTAATTACAGTGGGTGGGAAAAAGCCCCCTGCTCTAAAGCAGTGCCCTGAGGCGGTCAGCTTAAACTCACCTTTTCTATTGAGGAACTGACCAGAACACATTAAAGCGCAATCCATCTATATTTAAAAAAAATTATTGTAGGCTACCCTATTTTTTATAAAAGTTCACTCCTAAGTTTTATTTGAACTTGTGTAACATCAAATTTTTTCATACTGCTGTTCACCAAAATATATGATATTTTTTTAGAGTTGCATTGAAAATGTTTTGCCTTTCTACCGATGATCCCAGATTTCCACTCATTGTCATTGTCTCTGGACAGAAAATGATCGAGAGTGCTCGGCAGCAGAGGGCAGGTGCAATACTGCAGCTAAAAAATAGGACATTTTGTTTTCAATCTAATCTGTCGTTTGGTTTGTGAGCAGGATGACGAAGAATTTACTAATCGGATTTCAAGGAAACTTGGTTGAAGGACGGGACACAAATCACCTTCTGTTGTGTGTAATATTTAAAAAAAATCTAATTTGTACTTGGACATGTCATTGTTGGACAGACACAATTATCGCAATAAACAATTTGGTTTATTTTTCCCTATCTGGAAAGTTTCCT